GAGATTCATACAGTTCTCTTTCATACACATTCAAAGTATCAAAACAATTGATTAGCAAAATTATACCAGATGTATGTCAAGAACTAATTAACTCACTAGCAGGATATGTCAAGGTACAAGAACACTATTTGTGTAATCAAGTATTTTATTAATTAAAAAACACAAAAAAAAACAGTGTATGCTATTGCGTTGATTCATCACTGAGATAGTTAACTAAGTTTAGTATAGCCGAATCTTCTGTTTCGTCTCGTAATGCATCTAGTCTATTTGTTTCGTGTCTCTCAATTTCCCTTATTTCAGTTTCCTGAACATTATTTGGTGTTGATGATGGATGAGAAGATGCCGTTTGATATCCATATGTATTATATCGTCCCATTTTTAATTCATACAGTATATTATTAATATGGTACTTTGCCTGTGTCACGGCTTGGTCATCTTTAACACTTCTTAATTCAGCAGCAATATATTCACCATATATATCAAATGGATCCTTCTTCTCCCTTTCATCCATCTTTTTTCTAGCACTTTTCAAAACCTCTAATATTTCATTTGATTCATCTGTCTTATTTCTTTTCCTCGAAGATGTAGATGTTGTAGCATTCGGCCTTGGTGATTGAGATGGCTCTGACTCCATACCACTTTCAAGTGCATTGTTTTCATCTACCTGTAAATTATTATCTTATTATATATTTATTTATTTTTTAGGTTCCAAGTTCGGAACAAGAATGGAAACAAATAAGTCGTGAATTCGAAATACGATGGAATTTTCCACATTGCATTGGGGCCATTGATGGGAAACACGTTATGATTGTGGCGCCAAATAATTCTGGAAGTGAATACTACAATTATAAAAATCAGTTCAGCATGGTACTTATGGCAATTGCAGATGGCAATTACAACTTTATTTACGCAAATTATGGAGCTAAGGGTCGGTCGTCCGACAGTGGAATATTTCAAGAAACACCGTTTTATAATGCATTGTTAGAAAACTCACTTAAACTGCCACGGCCTGAACCAATAACACAAGGCGGAACAGAAATGCCGTATGTAATTGTAGGTGACAGTGCTTTCGCGCTAACGGAGAACATCATGAAACCATATCCTGGCATTCATGAACGTGGGAACAAAAAGCGTATATTCAATTACAGACTATCAAGAGCTAGGAGGATTATAGAAAATGTTTTTGGCATTTTATGTGTGGTGTTCCGTGTATTCACTAAACCTATTCCGTTAAAACCAGCCAATTGTGAACTCGTGGTAATTGCTTGTGTATATTTACATAACTTCTTAAGACGTAACTCAGTTTCCAGATCCATATATACACCTCCACAAACTTTTGATTTTGAAGACTCTGAAGGTAACCTATTAGAAGGTTCTTGGCGAAGGGAACTAAGTTCGTTTCCTATGATTGATTTGCAAAGACGGGGCAGGCCTGCATCACAATCAGCTCTTTGTATTAGAGAACAGTTTGCCGATTACTTTATAACTCCAGAGGGAAGAGTTCCATGGCAAAATAATGTAGCGTAATTGTAATAATTTTACAGACAATAGTATAAAACAATTATATACAAAAACAACTTACTGTTTTATTCATAGTATCCGTTTCACCAGAAGTAGTTGCACCACATAACAAAAATTCCAATGGCTCGTAATAAATCCATTTACATTTTTCTATTGCGCCGCTGCCTGTAGTTTTTTTTTGCCGACATCTTTTTTTTCTCTCTAGTAAATTGAGTACGCAGTACATGTATTTTAGTTTCTACGTCTTTTTTGGGTATATTTAGGACTTGAGAAATTTCTTCGAATGCATCGTTCTTTTTGTTTCTATCTTTGTATTGTTTTATAGAACAATCCCATAATAATGGTTTTGATTGAAATAATTCTATTAATTGCATTATTTTATCATTGCTCCACACTACTGCCATGTTTATAAACTGTTGCAAACTCGTCCACACACGTCAACAATTGTCGCTAAACTGATGTTTACGCTTGTCGGGCGAGAGCTTGTCAACATGATGCTGTCAACTCTGCAACACGCAGTGTTGCCAGCAACATGTTGACAGCAACTCCGCAACACGTTGATTCAACTTTGTTGCTCAACAAATGTTTCCCATGAATACGGGGCTTTAAGCGATCAACATGGTTGCATTCTTTTTTTCCAATCTTCCGGGGTTATACTTTGGATCGCTGCCTTTGTTAACCTTTCTATATCTTTTTCTGATTGGTCAATATTTTTGTCTGCCACCCTTTGTTTCATCAAATTCCAAACATACTCAATAGGGTTGAGATCACAGTGGTAGGGTGGCAGACGTAATACCTCATGTCCATGAGCTCTAAATATTTCATCGATGAAATATACCTTCTCAGGTTTATTTCTTTGAATCAACATATACAGTTCTCTTTTAGTCATTTTGTCATCAAATTCGATGTTGTGTTCTTGCAGCCATGTTTGCATTTCGTTTTTACGTGCACTGAAATTTGGCGGCTTATTTGCCTGCTTACTGTGATAGGGCGCGTTGTCCATGACAATTATTCCGTTGGGTGGAAGGTTCGGTATCAATTTCTCTTTAATCCATTTGGTAAAATTGGACGCATCCATTTCGTCATGGTAATCACCGGTTGTTGATTTACACTTATATAGGAGCTCGGCTCCTTGTATGAAACCGTTCTCATTACCTGCGTGTACCACAATCCAGCGCTGACCAGGAGAGTGATTTATTCGGACACTGGAATCACTACTATTTTGCCAACATTTTGAGACAGTATAGTGTGAATGTATCCAGGTTTCGTCGATAAATGTAACTGGTTTTTTTCGGCACCACGTTCGTCATTTTCTTTCAGTCGCCTTAAATATTTTGCTCTCCAGGCTGCTATTTCAGGTCTTTGCACCAAAAAATCGCGTTTTCGTTTACATTTTTTAAAGCTGTACCCCAAATCATTTATTAGTATGTTTCTTAGGGCGTCTTTTTGGCCGGGAAAGTTGAGCTCCCGTTTTGCTATTGTAAGAATCTTTTTTAAAGTAGGTATTTCTTTTCTTGTGGTATAAAAACTTTCAACCAAAGAGCGTATCGCGCATAAATCAAAATTATCTAGATCTATTTTCTTTTTGTATTTTTTACGCTTTTTCCCTGGTGTCGAGAGCTTGATAGTGTCCGTGGCAACTGAATCTGAAGTACTAGGTTGTGGATGCTCACCATCTTCGAAGGACGTCATGTCTTCCTGAACATTCGCTGCTCGCGCTGTTTCTGTTTGTATTTTTTTTGCTTCACGTTTTATTGTCATTATTGTCGTTTTAGATAAACCAGTTGCAGCACAAGCCCTTTTTGTTGCTTGTTCAACCGGCACAGTGAAAGAGCCGTGTTTTTTTTCATTTTCAAAGAATTGGATTACTTTGAGCACTAAATTCCGCTCTGCACTATGTATAGTCCTACCCATCTTACATACAGCACTAAATAGGTAGTTTATGTAATATTTCACCAAACAGAGAAACAATAAACACTAAAATGCGATTACGAAAGCAAGAATAATACACGTGCGTCGGCGATTGCGTTGGCAACGGTACTAGATAGGCGAAAACGGGGCGGGGTGCGGGGAAGCGCCAGGGGAAGCGCATTCCAGCGAGGTTCGCAGATATTTCCGACGGCTTGTACGATATTTTACTTTGGAAAATATTAATCGTACTTCATTGTATGTAGTACTTACTATACTTTACGTCGAACTATATGTAGAATTAAATAATGTATATTACACATACGATAACTTACATGGATACTAACAAAATAATAATGTGAAATGTGTATAGTTACGACAGTATGCTATAGAACTAGGTCATTGTATAGTATCGCGAGCGACGTATATAATATATTGAGGGATGATTGAAATGAAATTCCTTTCCTTAAACTGAAATGTAATGTATTTCACAATTAAAGTCTAGTAAGTAAAGTCCAAATAAACATCAGTCACTCTCAAAAAACTTAAAAAGTTAATCAATGGTATTTTCGCTTATTATTATGGTTGTAATATTAGTAGTAATGTTATATTTGTAGAAACAATGATAAATCCCTATCATTTTGGGCACAATCTTTCAATAAAATATATCATTAAAACCAACTAAACAAAAATCTTTTTGAGAAACTAAAATAAACTTTCTTTACTTCATCGTAAGAATAATAATCATAATTGTTCAGTCTTTAAAATTACAAAAGCAGTACAACAATAAGAAATATATAATAAGAACTTAAATTAAAAAAATCAATCTGAATCAGAATCCAAATTATGGTCATTGCCACTTTCTGGTAAACTTTGGAAGAAATCATGATGAGTACTAGGTATAATTTGAGACTTGCACATGTTCATCAAGTCATCTTTTTTTGCCTTAGGAATCGGCAGTCTATTTTCATACAGTGCCTCTACATTGGATATGCATTGTCACCTGGTAGACGCCTTTATACATAAAACATGGTAATCATCGGCAGCTGTACGCGTGTCGAACCATTCATTATATAAATCAAACAAGCGCTGAAAATTAAGGTCTCCATCTAGGTAAAGTTTATTACTTCTACTGCGTGTATAATGAGAATCTACAGGATGTAGAGATTTAATGCGATCACATACACTTTCGATAACATCTTCAGTTATTATTTTGCGATGATTAGAATGACGGCCTCGCATATCTGGTTCTATTAAGCCACTTGTGGTACTTCTTTTTTCTAAAGACGTGTACACAAATTGTTCACTTACTGAAAATGTGTTTAAAAACAACTTTTTACATACAGTTAAATAGTTTTCCTGATTTTCCATATCAGCTCTCGCCAGTCTATAAATTAAAGTAAAATTACGCCTGGATTCAGTATCAGTAAAAACCCTGCGTTTTTTTTGTTTCACAACCAAATTTGCAATAAAAGCCCATTGCTTTTCACGGTTACCTAAACCCCAAAACCTATTGAAAATCAAAATTCTTTCTTCATTGCTAATTTTCATTGAACACTTCAATCTGCAGTTCATTGACACGTAGGACCTAAAGATTTACCACACCTTACAGTACCATCGCGACTCTCGTACTCCTTGCCCAAGTTTCTTAGCATTTTCCTTTTGTTGTCTTTCCATTCAGCAACATGTCGACGTCTGATATTTCCTTTGTCCTTTCTTTGGTTGATTTTCCGTTTTCTAGAAGCTTGTGGTGTCGCTTCTGAGAACGAAGATAAAGGTGTGTTTGCTTGCGGAGTATAAACTGAATTAGTATAGGTTGAATCAACAGACTGTAGTGGTGAAATATTATCTTCTTAGTTATCTTTAACATGACATCCCTTGTTGATTCATCTAACTCTGTAATAACGTACCTAATTGCCCTTTTTTACTAACTTTGGCGTCTTTATTTTCTGTATTACATCGGCCCAGCAATATAATTTCTCGTCCTTAATATTTGGCCATCTCCAAAACTTTAAACCTTTCTTCATGCACCTAACCATTAAACTGAGACAACAGTAGATACCTCATCTCCTAAATCAAATTGTATCATATTCTTTTAACATTGCGGTATGATCTTGAATGCGCGAAGACGCCGGTAAAGCAGTTGTTTTAAGATTATCCTTCATTTTATCCAATTGCATTGACTTTTCAGGGGATTTGTTGCGCCACTTAGTAAATCGATTCCTTTGTGTTGTTGAAAGTATCCCAAATGATAGTGAGTACAATCTTCTTCGCAATCTATGCATGAGAGTCTTCTGCACTGTAAATTGTTGTTAAGAAATAACGCTTCTCCGATAAGTAATAATTTCTTCTTCACACTCTCAGGAACGTTGACATTCTTTGGGAGCACAGTTACTTTAGTTGCAGTTGATTCTGGGTCATATTTTTTTTCTAAATGTATTTGTTACATTAAAAAGTTAAGAGAGTAGATAATATAGCTTATAGTTCCCAATGCTTTATATCTAAGCTTTTTAAAAACAACAATTTGTCAAGTCTTCTGGGATCCAAGCGGTTCCGCTCATCACTTGCGATGTTGCCGGCAATCGAAAAAAGGCGCTCACAGGGAACAGATGATCCTACGATACTCATATACATCACGGCTATTGGGAGTGTACATGGTGATAAATAGAGTTTTTTTTGCTCTTGCCAATAAAGTATAGGATCATACTTTAGGTGCACAACTGCCTGTGATAGTTAAGAGTTTTTACGTAATTAAACCTTTAACTGGCCATGCCGTAATATTGTGAGTACATTCAGCTAATTCTAAATAATTTTTTTATTTTTTTTCACCAAAACAGAAAAAATCGGGAGTCGATTTTCAAGGGTAAAATATCGATTCAGTACGACATATAGTTCTAGTTCGAACCCCCCCGGACACTTGAAATAATTTGCATCAATCACATATGTAGGCATCTCCATAAACAGAGATGTCAAAAATTTCGTGGCGCCACTCCTTATTTTTGCGCATAAAGAGCGCTTTCGTTTCGTTTACTAGTTCACTTATGGTGAACTAATAGTGAAGTAGAAGGTGTAGTAATAGGCTAATGGCAGCTTGAAATTTCGTTTGATACCCTTCACAAAGTTGAGTGGAGTTTAAATATAATTTCAGGTGTTCTTTAGTGTCCCGAGTAATAGTGCCTATTCAACCTAGCGTGTATTTATTTGGACACGATCCTTTTTGGCGCCATAATTTAATAAAAAATTAAGCAAAGATACAAAAATCTTACATTGTAAACATAGGGTTTCTCTTTTTTCTTGGCATATTTTACTAATAAACGCCATTCATGAGAGGTATAAGTTCAGCATAACAAAGTAACAAGTAATAAGGCAAATAGTAGTTAAAATATTACACGTTCCACCACATTTCATCACTGCCTTGTTTCGAATATGGTGATTCTGACATTAGAGTAGATTTTTGTTTGTCATTTTCATTTGTCATTGTCATTTATATTTTGATAATATTTCTTGTAATTTACCTTGTGCATGTATGCTATTTTTGGTGTTTATTGTGCGCAATAAAGACGCCACATATTTTTCAAAAATACCCAAATCGTCATCCTTTTTTCCAGTCTCGCTCGTCTCTCAATATTGTCCAGTTTAGTTAAGGCTGAATCTATGTAGCCAGATGTTTTTTTGGTTCTTTTCTTGGGCATTGGAGATGGAGATAGATCGACGATTTTGCGGCTAAGTTCCGCCGGATATTCGGCTATTCGGCCACATGGTTGGCCGAATATCCGGTATGCGGCCAACCATCTATTTCATACATCATTTTTAATCTTTCAATTTCAGATAGCTTACGGAGTTCATTCGCAAGAATCTTGCTATAACGATCGAAATCGTCTTCAGGCACTTGCGGCTTTTTTAAAACTGTATTTAATGTACTCATAGCTTCCTTCATTGTTTTTTCGGCCTCTTGTAATTCTATGGGATTCTTTCGGCGTCATGGTATTGTTGACAATGATGAGGATGTCGAAGGGGCTGAACAATTATTGTGCACTGCATTTTCAGTCTGTTCAGTCTGAACCACATTTTCTGGTATAGCTGGATTCTGAAAAAAAACATAAAACTTTTTTACAGATGCCTCAGGATCCTCGGTCCTGGTTACAACCACAAAAAGGTTTCAAAAAAGTCAAGGAAGAATTAGTGATGGTGGTGTATTTCAAATTAGCCTACTGCGGAAGAATTTGCTCGAATTATTTAAATTTGCCAAAGCCACAACCAGTACCAGGCAGTACAAAAGAAGTTCCGTATGTTTTTCTGGAAGATGGAGCATTTGCATTGACAACACATATGTTGAAGCTGTACCCAGGAAATCATAATGATTGGTTCATTATCTTGATCAGTTCTTTACAATAGTTTACGTAATGGTATGTGGAAGCATTGTTTTTCTTATATTTAAAAAAAAGGAAATATGCATTCCACACTGCAATATCCAAAAATTGAAATAGCACTTTTTTATACCATCTAATGGTTTTCCGGGGGCATGAGTAGTAGGATACCATTTGATCAGAACGATCGATGCCAGACATGTGTCTGTTATATAGTTCTTTCTACTTCTGCCGGTTTCAACCTGGTCTTGCCAAATCGGTTCCTCACTTCCACTATCGTAGGTTAGATGTTAGTGGTAATCATTAGGACAGGCCGTTTATCCTTCCACTTTGACACATACAACTTGTTCTTGCGTACCCATATGTGCCCACCTGTTTTCAACTTCTTCTTTGTGATGTCTATAGGATTTCCTTTACGATCTGACCGCAAAGTACCGGTGCAATGAGTTTTTAAATATATAAATTGTATGTATATAATTGTATTATATTTGGTAAAATTGGTGGAATTTTAATACCAACATTGAAAAGTTCATGTGCACTCTTTTCCATTTGGACCGTGTCCCCTCCGTTTTCGTCTTGCATGGTAAACAAGAACTAAGTGTGCTGCGACCGCGTGGCGTGTAGTTTTTTTACTTGATCACGTCGGGGTCACCAGTATAGGGTTCGCGTTGTTGTATATAACCACTATGTAAATAATAATACTTGTGTGATCGTTGAATGTATATATTTTGCGTAAATATATACCGCGGCGTCGGCAGCGAGTTGTACGTGTGTCCCGTATGATATCGTGAGCCGTACTAACTGAAGGAGCGCGCTGTGGAATGCGCGTACGCCTCTCCCCCGCCAGCCGCGAACAATAGACACGGTTTACATGAAGAAGTTCGTAAGTACATTTTTGCAATTTAATATTTAATTTATTTTGGTAATTTTATTAATGTTTTTATTTGTTCTGTTTGAGCTACCGTTGACGACGAGGACGCCACAATATAATGTACCTTTGGTGACGGTATGACATGCCGTGCCTTATGATAGTAGGAGAAATCGACCGACGTACTGTCATATTGCTCTTTAGGCCATGACGCCTATGGGCGGTACTGTCCGTCATCGTGTTAAGCCGTTTTTCATTTTATAAACATTTTCAGTGTTACCTAGGTATAACTCAGCTAAAACAACACCCCTAAAGTGATTTTACCATTGCTTACATTTTTTTTCCTATTTGTTAAATTGAGATTCTCTTGTAGCCCAACAATTTGCCTGAAATGTTCGGTCATATCCAGGGACATAAACTGTGTCATGCTTTCTTAGGAATTTTTCTATTCTGCCAAAATCACGGTGCGAGAATCTCTCTCCCTCTAAATGGGTCTTAAGAATGGCCAACTTCAAAAAACTTGTGTACGATTACTTTGAAATATCCATTAAGGATAAGATATTGATAACGTGTAATCATGGTGAAATTGTTGTTTTGGCCGGTATATGAATCTGACCAAATCAATAGGCGATCATTGTTGGCCAAGGATCTACTTCCACAAATCTTAGAAGTGCGCTCGCGACATCCACACTTTTGAAATCCGCAACATCTTCAGTCCAGGTGCAACATACGGCTTTATCTTTTCTTCCATCACAAACATGAATATCCAGGTTGTAAAACCACAGTTGACGCAAGTAGAACGCTTTTGAAGTTTTGGTAAAGGCATGGTTTGGTGTAAATCTCGGGGTGGTTTTTTTCGGTCAACTTAAATAGCACTGCAGCATATTAATTTGACTTATGTTCGTCATTTGAGTATCGGGCATTGCAAGAGCGCCTCATTATGACACATTCCTAGGTTTAAACTGCATTTTGGTGACATTCAGTAGCGGTGACAAATATAGTCTGTTCATATTTTTGTTTCGTGAGTAATGTGATTGTTCAGCAGGAAAACTTGAAATATGTTTTTTTTTAATACGTTTATCATCGTCATCGTCATTTGCATTTGCGTCGCTGCATCGCTTGTTTGTCAATAAAACAAAATTATTTATTTTAATTAAAACAAAAAGAAAATCTACAAATTTTAAGATTTATAACTAGATCTATAACATCTAATTAAAGGTAACTTAATTTATAGTTTTTTCCCACTCTTTTCAATTTCCTTCTCCTTTACTATTGTTCTTTCACGCAGAGGTCTTTCATTTTCTTCAGCGAAGGCAATATTTTTAGGCGTATCTGTCAGTATTGCTGTTTTTATTGTTCGTCGATTATTCGGTACAGTTGATCTCTGTGATGCTTTAGGTTAAGGGTTTAACATCTTCAGGGGAAAATGTGCTAGTTGTGGCTTGAATGATCCTGTTGCTGCTGGAAGTGGTTCGCTATCTAGGATGGGTTCCATATTTATAATCCACCAGAAGCTCTTCAGGGCCAGCTGTCTTGAAGTTGTGATTCCATATTTTATATATTAGTGTCAGGCATAGGTCGGTCTGTAACGAAAGACTTATTTATGCCTGCCTCTTTAAAAGCGTTCATAAAGTTATTTGGGGTCGCTGCTAGAGGCCATGCATGTTTTACATTTTCAGGTTTCTCATAAATAGACATTGTCTTGCCTGGATTATTATGTTGCCAGTTTTCTTGAGCTTCGGCAAACGGTCCAGTAATGCCCACGTAATAGATGTTGCAAATGATGGGTACAATGTCGGGGGAAAGACAACATTCTATTAAGCCTTTGCCTTTTCAACAACATTAGTGTCAACGTGTGATTGATCCAGCAATAACAATACTGGATCCTCGGGAGTGGACTTTTTGGTGTTTTAAAAAATGGCCCATAAAGATGAGTAATTGTTTAACCGTCATCCATCCCAAGCTATTTCCCGCACCACTACTTTCTGAGTCCATCATGAATAAATAGGTCTTTGTACTTAAGGCGAGGAAAAACAAACATAGGTGGTATATCGTTTGCAGCAGCTACTATTTTATTTGGTTTTAATACAATGGTGACTCCTGTTTCGTCCAAGTTCCATATTCTAGATGGCAGCACATTTCAGACGTCAAGAGCATACCCCGTATGCAGTTATGTGTCTGCTTTTTGACTCATATACAGGCAATTGTTACACTTTTATTATGTTATTGCAAGACAAAATCGTTAATAAAATAAAAACTATAAATATATAGTTTTAGTCAATAAACAGACGTCATTCACTGGACAGATAAATCGGCAAACCTATGAAAGTCAGTAAACCACTCACACTACAGCAATACACAAAATTTTCAACAGATGTAAAGAACTGCAATAAGTTTTATTCTCTCATGCGATATGTAGACACTTGAACGTCTGAGAAAATGCAATTTTTTACTTTTAATCTTGACGCTAGTAACTCAGCAGGTTCCTTAGCAAGCTTTAAGTCTCTGATCAGGTCATTTAGCTAATAAGTTGAATGTGTCATTGTTGTCTGTTTCTGGCTCTGTAAACAGAAGCCACGTATAGTGTGGAGGTACGAGTGGGTATTGAGATGATGGCCAGGTTGCTGGTAGAGTGTTGTGTTAGTAGCTTAGAATTGATGCGTGGTCGTGTAACTATACAGGCTTTCGTAATTCGTCCCCGAATGGTTTGGAATGCGCGTAGGCCTGGTATATGTGGTAAGTAGAGTCAGAGTCAAATCATTTATTTCAATTAGACCACCTAAAATGGCACTTTTGAACGTCAAACAAAATACAAAGAAGATTCTAGTTGCCCCTTCCAAAAGGTAGTTTCGTGTGGAGAAGAATGGGCAAGAAACTCCACACTTACTCTTTTAAAATAGGTTTACAATATTTTGTTTACATAAGTTAAATAATTATATGTGCAGACAATGTACTCTTAGAATAAAACTACCATACTAAAAAAGTTAGTATACATGTTCCTCACATATTTACAAATATCGAAACCATAGAATATTATATCTGGGCGGATGCCCTTAATCATCAGAATCAGCCATGTCTTCAATAAGTTGTAATGTGGGTAGGAACAAAAGAATCACCAAAGTCACAATCAAAGTTATTACATCACATAAAGTATCTCCCTTACAGCAATTCACTAGTAATTAGGGAATCACTTAATCCATCACTTCTAATTAGTTTTAAAACAACACGGCACAAGATTACTCGGAACAAAAGCGATTCGTCGCAAACGTGGTGCGCTCGCCGTTGACATTCGAAAACTAAATGAAATTCAACATGGCCGCGCTGACCATCGACACGAAGCTCCGCCAGACTGACAATTGTCAAATCTCGTTCCAATATTTCCAGTATTTCTTAACAGATGGCGCTAGGAATGCGCCGTCATATACCTACATTAAAGAGTAATAAAAATAATATTAAAAAAAAACACAATAAAACAGTGTGTGAGATAAAATAAAATAATTACATTTTGGAGTATTATACATTTAAAAAAATAACAAAAGTATGTAAAAGCAAAAAATCAGCAACCAACTTGATTTTGTCCAGGCTCTATGATTGTCCTATGGAACAGGACCAGCATGTTTCCAAGCATTCTTATCTTGAATATAATCCTCTAATTTGTAATATGCTTGTTTACAAAGTGTATTTTTAATAAAACATTTAAATTTTCGTTCATTTAATTTTAAAATGTCACAAGGTATTTAATTGTGTAAACTTGATCTTGGGTAGTAGCTACTTGATTTCCTTGATACTTCTCACTTTTACACTTTTAAAATTTTAGCTATCGCTCCTCCCTCGTGCGCAGCTTGTTTTATATCCTCTTCCCCACTTCGACACGATCCCACTCCGGGTTGGTTTTGACGTCCGTTCCGTTAAACCACAGAATAAGTAAACTGAACAACTGTGCCATAGCATGATTATATTTCTTAAACTAAAATTGAACAGGATATAAATAAAAAGCTAACAATTGTAACATTTAACACAGTACCCATACAGAAAGAAGTATGTGTTGTTACCTAGATATGGCTCAGAGATGATTGCTATGTCAGTGTGATAGTTATCGAAGTGTATTTTGAGCTCATGGAATGCATTGCGAGACCTATTGAGGTTCGCCTGTAAGACATTAAGATGTGTGTGCATGTTTAATTGTAGTTGATTTTGGCCTCGACGCGGGCACGCATGGATTTCACCTTGAGGCAGTTCTCGCTATCAGCGCGATAGCCGACGTCGGTCTGAGACTTAAGTTGATGATTGTGTTCGCCCGTTGTGTGCGTTTTTGCGCATTTAGCGCAGGCGGGGACGGTGGCTGGGTAGCGGTTTTTGGTGTGCCCAAAACCTTAGCAGTTTCTGCACTGTAGCAATGGTGAGAAATTCTCACAGTGGACTCTCTGGTATGTTATTGAGACCCTCTCGAGTTCCAAGAACTTACGCCAGGCGGCGACGTGTTTAGCACAAGGTTGTATAGGTTTTCGTTCCTATTGTTTCGTTTGAATTTAATTTCGAATTTTTCTAGTTTCATTGATAGGTTTTGATCTTTTATAACATTGATTATTTCCTCGGCGGGAGTGTGTTTTCTGATACCCTTTATTTGTATCATTGGGTCGAGACGACGCTCCTCTTCTGCATTGAGTGAACCTGTCTTATTTAGATGTGTTGTTAGGCCGTGGAATTATAAAAAAAATTAGACAACCGCTCTCTAAGAATGATACACGCAGACTGACTGAAGTCACTAGGATCGTAATCCTCTAAAAGTACGCATTGATGATGAGTTAGCATTATGGCTAGCAATCTAGGGATGTAACATCTTTCTTTCATCTTCAACCCTTTTAGATAGAGCCTTTCGTGAGAAATTCAAAGGCTCTTTTATATTCTAGTCCTGATTTTTTTCACTTTGATGAACAATTTCCATTTCGGGAATTTTCTTTTCTGTAATTTCTATATACTCATTAGGAGGTTCAATTATGGTCTTATTGGGATTTAATGTATATTGAAAAAGGTTTTTCAAAATTTATTAATAGCTAAATACAATAAAAATGAAATTATTGTAACCAAAAGTTATAATTATTGTCGCCGAGTAATGTGTCCCAAATTCCACAATATGAGGTTGTTTAGAAGATTCTAACTTACCTAAGTCGGTAAGGATTGAGTTTAATTTTAACTTATTTTCTGAATTCAAATCGTCTAGATTTATACTGTTTAAGTGAACAGGATGGAACCTTTTTAGTTAAAATATCCCTAAATGCAATGTAGTTGCATCCTTTTGTTCGGTTTTTAAGGGTTGAAATAAAACAAAAAGCTCAAATCAAGATTTATAATAAAGCAATTATCATGAACTTAACTTTTCTTTTATTGTATTTATGCTCTAATAATAAATTTATCATTTTTATCCATCTTAATCACTTTAAATTAAACTAGGCATAAATTTAAGCATAGACTTAATATCATTTTTCTTCTCATTAGATATAATCGGACGATTCCTGCGTGTTTTTGGTGTTAGGTCAATGTTAACCTCTGTAGCCCGTTGTTTTCTTGCTGGTCGATCCTTTAATCTTAAATTACTCACTCTATACAAGGAATGTGTAAATGATACAAGAAAAGCTACTTGATAGAGATTTTAAGTGAACCTCAAGCTACAAACAGTTGTGAAGGGAACTTGTTTAAAGTTCATAGCATTTGCTACCGCACTGTAGTCTTTGAAATCATTTTCAAGCATTTGAATCACTCTAAAAGGATGTTTTGAATTAACTGTCTTGAGTAGCCTTACTAAGCCGATAGGTGAATAAATCTCAGATGAAAGCATTGCCTTTTCAATGGCACTGTGTGCACTGTCTACCTCTTGAATACAGGAATGCCCTGGCGTCGAATACTTCATTATTATCTCAGTCACATGCGGATTTTCTTGCAGGAAATTTAAAATAGCTGAACTGATAAAAGAATTGCGATTTTGCGAAACACACGAGTCACTTCATGTTATCAATTTTGTAAAATGATGTTCTTCAGCCACTTTATCAAATATCTTTTTAAATGCACTAGCAATTTCGTTACCAACACGCCCAGATGAGCAATTCAGTCCATATAACACAATATTTCGTTTTAGAGATGGATAGATGGGCTGTCAAATTGTAAACATATCAGCGCGAGGTGATTAATGGGCGAGGAAATATTTAAAATGTTATACTTATTTAAAATGTTACAAGAGTAGTAGTACTTTTGAAATATCCTACACACGCTTTTGGTATATGAAGTGTTCCAGTACCTAAAATTTGGATCCTGAACAGTCTATGGATATCTTTCGTGGATCTGACTGCATAAACAACCATTTGTTATTCATTATGGGTTACCTTAACTTTTCACTTTCACAAATAGATTTTGCTTCCGTGGAATATACATTTTCGATGTCACAAATAATGTTTCCAGGATTCACCATTTTACAACTTCCAAGTTATTGAATACACAGTATTGGGATTTGTCGGTGGTCATTGCTATATACCCATTACTAGCAATAGGTAAAGAAAATGAATTTGGCTCTTTAGGGTTATGTGGCGTTGGCAGAGCAATAACATGAATGTTTGTAGTGAAACAGCTGTGCTGTTCGCGCAGAAATATGTACTTGGAATCTCTGTTCCAAATTGACTCACAAACCCTTCGGACATATACCATGAGGTGTACTCGCCAAACCTCTCTATGAAGAAAAATGATTTGTCTGGACTCAGGTTTATCCCTATCAATGAGAGGTTCAATTTGTTCTGGGCAATACATTGTTTGTGGAACCGTCGACGGAGAAATATTTGTTCATTGAGTCGTCAGAAGACCTAATGCAAACTACTCTGGTCCTTGTCTGATCCATCCTGTATTTTGCTGGAAGCATCCCTGGTGTTGTAGAGGCTGCATTCAACATTTTCTGTAAATTTAAAAAAATCGATCCATAACTTCTGCTAATTTCGTGTAAAATTCTTGCACATTACTTTTATTAAATGACGTTGCTCTGCTTAGGCTTGTTGCTTCAGGTTTTCTAATAGAAAGGCTGCTATTTCGTGTAAGAAATGCAGACATCCAATCCTTCCCAGCCATTTTATTTGAATGCCATGAGGCTGGATTATTTATTTTATATTTAATAGCACAGTCATAAGCCATGCGACGAACTCCTTTAGGACCTATACCATGTAAAATTTGTGCAAGTTTGAGCAAGTATTCTGTTAGACTGTCTTCTTGTTCTTTATTAAATATTTTCTTTGGAGTACCATAGCCAAATCTCAAATTTACAGGATCATTCTATTAAATCTTGATAATAAAGTTTTACTTAATTCAAAATCACGACACACCTCCCTCAATGATTTATTTTCATGTAGAACTAAAATATTTGTGGTGGACCTTTTTACCCGCGGACCTTTAAGCCCCGCCCTACCCTCCTTTTTTATTTTTATAAAGGAGGTTAAAATGCACATACTGGCGACGACGCAGTGAGACGCAGTTGGACCCGATTGGGCCCACGCACCTGCGCATTCCCACCCTTCACCTTGCCGTCGCCAAGCACATCCCCTCGGCCACATCAACGCTCCTCGCGCTGACGATCGACAGCCGGAAAACCGGAAGAACCGATCGCCATACCTCCTGGCTACCAAGTATTGCTGCAACAACACTCAGCAGCGAGAGGTCCGTCCACACGACCTACACCAGGTCGAGGCGATGTTGCCTCAACCAAGTGGCACATTCGGCCAGGCTGCGCAGTCACAACCTCTGAGTCGCAGCACAGCGTCTCAAGATTCCCCCCAATAGGCTGGTGCAGCTATGATGGTTGTGTCACACCAAACTCCATGGGTGCGTTCCCCACAGTTGTCCCAGTCCTTGGGGCACCCAGGCCCTTCGTCACTTTCGGAGGGTTGCAAGCCCTACCACCCATTTTATGGTCTGCCGGCTTTCCAGCCGCTGAGCAGACCGCGCAATGCTCTTTCGAGCTGCACTCATAGGCCTTGTGGCCCACAACCCCACATCGAAAACACGCCACCGCCGAGTCACAGGTGGCACGCACGTGTCCCAACTTCTGACATTTGAAACACCTCAGAGGGCGGTCCTGCCGGATTTCTACCCGACAGGAGCTCCACCCAATGAGGAGCTTCCCATTCCTCACCTTCTCGGCGGCAGCGACCGGACACAGAAGGAACATCTCCCCTATACCCCGTCCCCCGCGCCTCATAATCTTCCCCGGCTTGATCGCATCGACCGGGCACCCACCCATGAAAGTCACCGCCACTGCAACGTCCCTTTCGGTGACGCTGTCGTCGAGGTCCCGAATAAGGAGGTCCGCACACTCGACGGGCCTCCCCACCAAGACCTCCTCCGACAGCACAATACGAAACTTCCCCGCCAGGGCGTCAGCCTTTTCCTCCCTGTCTACCCCCAGCACCTCCAGCATCCGAGCTCCCGTCGCCGTTAGCAGGATGCTGATTGTGGACAATACCCAGGTGAGGCAGGCTAATACCATGCCTGGCCTTGGTCAGCACATCCTCATACGTGACCCCCCGCTTCTCGGCCTCTCTCCGCAGCGTGAGGACCACTGCGGCAGTTTTCGGCGGAGTGAGCGAAGGCTGCACCCTGGCAGGCCTTTTTTCGGCTGCCACTCGCCCAGCCGATGCCGTGATCCACTCCATGGTCCACCGCCCGGCCCACAAGACCACTTCCCCCACTCACAGGAGGAAGGATCGACGCAGCGGGAGGACCACCCTTCTTTCCCTTTCCCTTTTTCCCTTTGGTGACGGTCGCCCAGCTTCCATCACTAGGGCCGCCAGGGTCCCGGGGCCCTGAAACATCTGGGGACCCCAGGCCCCCCCACTCCACAGAACGCTCGGGGGCTCTTGGCCCACGAGCCGATGCCGCCAGCGGAGGACGCAGCACAGGCTCAGAGAGGAGCCTGACTCCAATCCCCGCAAGTTTGACATCTAACATGCCCCCAACAGCCCGCATCACCTCCCCCATAAGGCTCTCCCTCACTCCATCAAGGAGCCCCTCTATCAATTGGCGAAGGGCTGCCCGGAGTCAAACTCAGGGTGCCCTCCGCCGTGCGTGGAACCTGTAACCCTCTTTCAGACAGCGCAAAGCGCGCATTCAGATCCGCCATCTCCCTTCTGAGGGCCCCAAGCTCATGACTTCCAAATAGCTGGTCAGCCAGTATTTCAGTAATAAAAAACTCTGTATTCATTTTTCGCCGCGAAATCGACTAAACTTATTTAATCCCTGCTCTATTCGCCGCGAATGCCGCTCGACTCCGTGGCTTGCGCCGTACTGATTCATGCCTTTGTTTCGCTCGCCGGCTGCGACGTCAGTCGCCCGCGCGATTCGCTCGGTACATTTCGCCGGTCGCCGTTGCGCGTGGCTTAATTAGTACATTGCTATGAGTTTATTTCAGTCGCTAGGCGCTTCGCCGTTCGCACCGCGCGAATATTCGCATCGGCGAATGTCCCGTGGCCAGGCTGTAAGTTTGGAAGTGTCACGTCGGTCACATTTATTGTGGAGAGCAGAGCATTCCTTTCGGACTCCCACGCTGGACAAACGAGAAACTGAAATATTTATTAATTCAATATGAATATAAACAATGATTGAGCCTTAACTTATAGATAAAGAATGTTAAAAATAAACAATGACCAGCGACTTACTGAATTACTGCGTGGGCGATTGATAGTAACGAGACGACGTTCAGTAGCATTCCGAGAAATTAGCGACGATTTATTTCTTGCTTGTTGTTTAGATTGATATTTCGTCTTATAAAACATCGAAACGAATAGATTCTTTTCTAGATTTTGTTTGAATGTAATTTTCTAGCGGATTGAAATACACTGTTCAGTTTTATGCGCTTTTATACACTTTTGCACATATATAAAACTGATACGGCCACGGGTAAAGAGCGAGTCTGCAGAGCGATGTCGGACAATGGGGATTTTCGGATCCCACCGTTGCCACCAAATGTTAGGCCGTGGAATTAAAATGCCACAATACTTGCGATATATTTTATTTTTTACAGACAATTTATTGAAGAGAAATTTTATGAACTTTTTTTTTGTATCGTAGGAACAAACCTGCGCCAGAACGCATAGATTCACGTTTTTTTTTCAAGCGCTTGCGAAAAGTAGTCATCAATATCTCTTTTTCATTTTTATTTCCTTTACTGGCCTTCCAGTAAGTTCAGCGAGACGAATCCATGCATCTGCTTAAGTTTCTTCTTATCTTTATGATTTGCATCTTTCGGATTCCAGATGCATGGTTCCATTTGGTAATGTTCCAGAAACGAAAGACTCGAATTAGCTCGAGTTCTTAATTTTGTATTAAGGTCTATATATTTCTTTAACCATGGACTCTGCTTAAATTTGAATATTCTATAAACTTTTAATAATTTTAAACTCATTTTCAAACATTGAATTACATTTCTGTAATGAATTATTTATTTATTTTTTAAGTTTGGAATCAATCTAATTTCCTTAGCGTCCCGAACTGGTATATTTTCTGGACAAAGAGGTAAATCCGAATGTTTATCATGTAAATCCACCGGATACTCCAGATCTACTTCTAAGATAAAACCTATCTGAAGAACAACTAACATTAAAATCTGTATCAGCACTAACCCACTCAAAACCAGCTGTAGGTAGATACTCCTACATAGCCCAACCATATAGATTATTGGCATCGAAATACATTAAGAATGACTCTTCATCTTTCGCATTATAGTCAGACATGTAAACATTATTTGCTTTTGCATAGCGAGTGCTACATTGCGAAACACCACCACGAATTCCTGATTTAATAAAAGCAATAATATCTATATCAGAACGTAATTCAATTTATGTTTTAGTATGATTTAACATAGCATCTCAAATTAATCCAGGTGCTGTATAGTAATGAGCCGGATCTAAATCGTACGTTTTAATTGAAACACACCTAAAATTTCAAAATTATCTGCTAACAATAAAACATCAATTTTTAATTAAAGATTTGAATAATCCAACATATTTTTACAATCGAAATGATTCCAAACATCTTTGGCATGGTTGTAATCTTCATTAGAAATAATGGAGTAAGAGTACTGTAAAAGTGTGGAAGATCTGGAAGTTCATTGTAGTGTAATGAATTCATATGGAAATACACCTTTTTTAGTCAGCCGTTTAAAGTCTTCTGAATTGTGAAAGCATTTTGATAATTCATTAAAATTATTCTTGTTTAAATTTTTTGCTAAAGTATCTAAGCTACTGGGTAAAAACTTTAGGGAATCCACAAAACGTAAAGTTACATTACTGTTATTGATTTTAAGTACCTTTGAAAATAATATGTATTTTTCTTTATTTTGTTGTAGAACTTCTACCTGACCTTCATCAAAGTTTAAGGCATGTACGATAAAATGTGCATAATAATTGCTTAAATTGTGCAAGAAGACTGGTATAGTGTAAGGTACTCTAAATTTTTCCGAACAAACTTTATGTATGACTCCAACTAATTCCCCAGTAAACCAATCATGGTTAGTCATTGAATCCCCACACAAAATTTTATCACAAATATAACAATGATTAGATTTGCTAACTATATCTTGCTGTATTGGTGATATTTTATTAGCAACTTTTTGGAAACCAATTTTTTTAACAATTGTTGTCAAATTATCTTTCAGTGATTCCATAAATTTTAAAGCATAATTTTCACGAGCGAGGCACCTGTCGATTCATCCTCCTGCTTACTCCCATCCGTGTATATATGTGTGTATTTATCGTATTTTATATTGTTATTATATTGCTCTGTGGAGATTGTGTTTATAGTGATGCGCTTGGCTGGGTGTAGTAGTTCTGTTGTGGGTATGGGTGTTTCTAAGGGTATGTCTGAGGGGAGTCTGTGTGTGGTTCTATGTATTATGATGCTCTCTAGTTCTGCCACTTCAGCGATTTAGAGATCTAGGGGAGTAAGTTGTGCCAGGGCGATTGCTGCGAAAATTTTCTTTGTAGGCTGAGTAGTTGCTTTTTAATACATTTTTTCACCGCCATGTGACGCCAAATCCCTGCCGCGTATGTTATAATGGGTTGTACAACTTGTTCGTATATGATTTTGATATTATCAGGGTGTGGTCGTGTATATATAATTAATTTATTAAATAGATTGAGTGCTTTTTTCATGGTAATTTTTATATGTGAGTACAATAGGATAGGTGATCGTTTTGATTTCTCCACTTTATTCCTTTCTTGGTGATAAGTACTTCGCAGACTTTTGATTTTGTTTTTAATTTCTTTTTCAGCCAGATTTAATTCTTGTATTTTGCTGTAGGCATTTGCACGTGCTATTTTGTTTTTGTAAAGGGAGCTAGCTAGTCGGCTTCCAAAGACATTCGTATTCTCTGTACAAATGAATGAAATGTATAGTTCTCTCATCTCCCCATCGTGCCATGTTGAATACAAAAACGAACAAAAGAAAAACTTGACCTTCGAAATCAAAACAAAAAACGTGCGCCTACAGCCACAACGAGTCGGCTACTGGTATGCCCGTAGCTGTCGCGTCTGTTCACACGTGCCAGGTTAGCAGACCCCCCGCGAACCCTCCCTCAACGGGCATGCAAGAAAATCAAATGTTGTGCAACTAGCTAGCTTCCAGTTACAAGCATGCCAGTTAGTGCATACACATGACTGTAGCTGGCACTAATTGCAAGGAGCTGGTATGCTAGTGTGCAAGCCACGGGCATGTGTATCCCCAGCTTTAGTTTTAGAAAAAAGGTGGCTTGTCACTTTATTTTTTTTGAAATGTGACACTTTTAGTTCCTATTTTTAAGGCTTTTGGTCTGTTTTTTTCCTTTCTATGAATATGTAGTTGACCAGAGGGCGAATTACTGTCAGATTGGTATATTTATTCCTTTGAGGATGTGTAGACTTGGTGGCTTGGTCCGCGTTTGACCGTTATAAAGGGACGCGTCGCTTCCAACGGACGCCCAACGGTTTTTTAAGTTTGAAAAATTTAAGCGTTTTACAAGTTTCCTCGTCTTGTTTCTGTGTCTTCTTTTACCTTGATAATTAAAAAATGTATATTAAACTGAAGGTAATTACTTGCTGTAGCTGATGAAATAATAAAAAAAATATGTTGTCGCTTTACTTTTTTTTTTAATCGGTAAAAACCTGAATTTTTGCCTTTCTTGGAGATTTTCTATGTTTTTCCTCACATAAAAAAATAAAAATTTTAGATAGGTCTCTCTAAAATTTAGGGTCGTCGCTTTATTTTTTTTTGTAAAACTCAAAAAACACTTTACACTCACTATTTTCAGTTTTCATGCTGAAATTTTCCGAATTTCGAAAAACTAATTTAATCACTGTGATCCTTGCACTTTTATGCACCTTTTGGTATATTGCACTTGTATATTGGTGCATAAAGCTAACAATAGAGTTTAAGAGTCTAAGGGTGAGATCTATAGTGCGCACTTAGACTTTGCTCTGACTTAACTATCGAGCTAAGACACAGTCGGTATTTATAGAGCAAACTGCGAATCTCTCCCTAGTGTTGGCTTAGCTTAATCTCAAGTCCACGAAATCGACGACTTACCAAAAACTTTGACTATAAGCCTAACAAAAATGATGGCCCAAAATTTGCTTTACCATCATATCTTTTACTGGACTTTTTATTTTTGTCGGTTTTTAATGAACGGTGTTGCCATTTTGTATCGGAGTTCCATAGACTTTGGGAAAAATAGAATTTGTATTCAAAGAAATTATAAATGATCTTGATAAATACCTATGAAATGCATGAATTAAAATAATTACACATTATTATGGTATTTATTATTGTTTGTTTATTATTTATGTAATTGTTCAAACCCCATTTTTGAGAAATCTTAAAAATAACTGGTGTGATTTTGTATGTCACCTGGCAGCCCTGGCATATTATAGTGACAACGAAATCAAACTATAACCTAACCGATGTCTCTCGCTTCACATCTGTTATTTTCGTTTCCCTGAATCTTCTACCATTTATTACCTGACTACTCTAAAAAATTTGAGATAGGAGTGGAACATATGAAATTAAAAAATCTGTTGGAAATAGAATTTCTTCAACAAAAATATAAATTAGTATTAGAAATATGTATTACACTTAAAAAAAGAATCAGAAAATAAATGATTAAAATGAAACAAGTTTTGTTTTGATATTCTTTATTACCAAACAAATTACCTAGTTAAATTGTGCAATCAG